AAGGGCACCCGGGTGGGGGGGAAAAGGGAATACAGAGGGAAAGCGGGGGGGATTTTTCCTGCTCTTTCTTGCAGCACTGCTGATCTAGTGTTACAACCTCCACGACGGTCCGGGCGCTTTATGAAATTACATTTGGTGGCCACGATGCAGCTTCTCCATCCTTAAATAGCAACCACGGTTAACTACTACCCTAACATTACCGTTTATTCGTGTCCTGCGGTTTGAAGCCTATGGTAAGAGGCAGGCAAATACATGGTCCGGRGATCACTCACGGAGCCCGTAACAACGGGAGAGTCTTAACTTAATCACAACTCATCCAGCTGCAAGAGTTTGCATTTGTATCTGCTCTGCTCCACAAGAAACATAAAAATAATGTAAAAATACAATAATAGACTTGATGCAAACCCAGGAATAAACCATGGAGCCTGCATGCAAACAAGTGTCCCCGCCAAAGTATCTGCAGGCCACGTTATCTCCATTCAAAGTTTTGCAATGTCTATTGCTTGAGCTTGGCTTTACTCGGAGCTCACTATCCCACCAACCCACCTGGGCTTGTTTTTCCTATTTTAATCTCAACAGTGGGAGCTGCAATGCACTTTTTTAGAAGTCATTAATCTTCAGGACTTAAGAAATAAGTCAACATTGTGTTCCATTCCTTGAACTAGAACTTAATAGCACTTTTCTCATTTTGGAAACTATGCTCCCGGGACTGCAAATATCAATTTAAGCAACACCAAAATTGTGCCCGCAAATTCAGATAAAATACGGACAGTGAGATACAAGTGCTGTACTCCTTTAGGGCAGAAATCATCCCTTTCAACATACTTCAAAAATACATAAAGAGAACAGCCGAGCAGATTATTAAGGGGAATAAAAGACCTTTAGAAAAAAAGCATTTAATTCCTTTATGAGTTTAGGGGAGAAGTCTGACTGATATTTGTAATCTTTTGGTGGACAGAGCTGTCATTTAATTTAGCTTGCATGACTGAAAGAATTTAATAAAAGTGTTCCACGGAGTTTTGCTGAAATTCTTAGCATGGTTTTAGTAAGCCCCTGGAATACGATCAAACCTAAAAAGCTGGACAGAGCGAAGGCTGAACTTGCAGCTAAAATAATATTCGGGATTGTAATATATGTTTAATAAAGTTCTCACATTCAGCAAGAAGTGCCTTCTTGCAGCGGGGCCATCAGTGCTGCTGCACGTCACCCAACAGTGACACCAGCATCCACCTCTGCCATTAATCCCTCCAAAACCTGGMTAAACTCCCCAATTTCAGACTGTCCACGGGACTTTGGACCTTTTCCATCAGGAGTCTCAATAAGGAGGTCTGGAGGATCACAGGATTCTTGTCCGAGCCACTTTCTCCCTTTTGGGGACACAGGTGGGCATCCTAGTTTCTACAAAACTCCCCAAATTCCCAACAAGTCAGTTTTTCTTATTTTAAATTCCAACCCATTGAAAACACTGCTTTGGGAAAGAAAAAWATATATATATAACATATAAATATAAAATGACCGATCTGGACCCTGAAATTTGCAACGCCAAATAATTTACGGGTGGGTTTTAAACCAGGCCAGCATCAYGGGGAACGTGCAGCTTTTCACACGATACGGTTCCCTGTTAACAGCTCATTACGCCGTACAGAAGTGCACTCCCATTATGAAATACAGCTGGCCCTGCTTTGCCTACCAAGGTCATTATCTGGGCCCAAACCCGAATCAAGGAAAGGAACCCCTCTTAAAAGGGTGAAGCTGGGGACACTTTGTGAAAACTCATGTGTTTTGAATTTTGTGGCCCGATTGTATACAAGCATGCAACAGGGAGAATCGATTCTCTCCACTTCCTCTGCTTATTAGCCCAGGAAATAGCATGGAAAAAATTATCTTTTTATTAGCAAATACTTTGTGTATTATTTGACTGCACCTCATCTTAGGATTCACTGATACTCTCCACTCCCCTATTCCTCATCTCCTTTTGGGGAGCAGGGGCCCACAGACCAGGCACACGAGCAGAACGTTATTGCAGTATCAACAGTATCATTTTTTGTTTGCTTCTTTATGAGCTCTAGAGAGATTTCTCTGCTTGGATAGCAACGGAATACAACAGATTGCAGTAAAATCCAACACCCTTGACACCAAATTCCAAAAAAAAAAAAAAAAAAAGAAAAGAAAGGGATTTAAAGCATTTAGAATATTTGTAAGTATTAGGATCTTTATCTCTCTTTGGCAAGAGTATGCATATATACATATATATGTATGTGCGTGTATATATATATATAAAAAAAATATACAAACACACACAGGTAGATGCTCTTTGACAGCACCACTACTCTAGATGAGAAAACCCATTTTTGCAGGAAAAAGCCCAAACTGCACTTTTGCTGGGGTCCTTCCCAATGGATACACCTCGGCAGCACAGAAGAAACCTGTTCCTAGTCATACTCCTCTTTCAAGCTCCGCACAACAAGGAGCAATTGCTAATCAAACATTAATTACGTGGAAGCAGGCCTCAGACCTGGAAAAGTCATTTTCGGTGCTTCAAAAAACAAAGAGTGGGACACGTCAGCTGTTGTATCAGCTGCTCCAAAGCTAATTCTCTACTTGCCCACGTTGCCGCTTTGAGCGGTCTCGTGTTTGAGCTGCACATGGAGAGCTGGTGCCCAGACCGAGGCCGTCGTGTCCCGTGTACCCTCACCGGGACGTCRGGGCTCCAGAGCAGCTCACTGCAAGGAGCAGCAAAGCTGGATGATCCACAGCTCTGAGCTAAGACCATGCTCTTCATCCACCACTACATCTTGTTGTTAACTGCTATGGTTCCGTCTGCTCAGCCCCAAAATCGTGTCTCCTAGGACAGGAGAACAATCCTACTGTTGTCACCTTGTAGCTACCAGCACAGCAGGACCCCCTTCGTTGCCTTCACCAGCTCCTGGGGAGATGTTCTCAGCTGCCACAAAACCAGCTTTCCTGGTCCCTGCCCTGACAGCAAGAAGAGGCTGGTGACAGCAGGGAATTACTAGCCAAGGAGCAGCCCTATTTCTGTGGATCAYTAGCTTAATTCCACATTAACTATCCAAACTGACAACTTCCCTACAGGCAGAGAAAGACAGATAAGGACCCTTAAACGCTGACTGTAATTAAAACGAATCCACAGTGGWCAGTAAATCTCCACAAGAAGCCAAAGGAGCTGACAAGCTGTTAAGAATTCCTGGATTTTGGCTCACGAGGGCATGGGACAGATCCACCAATGGCAGGTTATCAAATCTGCAGCACCAGCATTGAATCCTGACCTTCCAGATAGGGAAAAGGTGCCGCTTCCCCAGCCCAAACAAATGCTCATTCATCAGAGGGCATATGCAAAAACCAGATGACTTTGGGGCTTCGTGATCGGCTCACTCACCTTTTAGGCAGTTCCTTCCCCTTTCCCCCCAGCTATTTACAGCTTGTTTTTGTGTTGCGATAGGAAGGAACAGAGAGCAGCGTGGGGATGGAGAATGGCTGCGGTCGTCGCAGGCTGCTACAAAACAAGGAAGTTCAGGTCTATTCGTGGCTCGTCCCCAAGCCCCACGTCAATGGTGACACCCTAGGGCTGCTGCTTTTCTCTTCATGAGCTTCTGCCACGATCTTTCCCCTCCTTTGTAATTCTGAGG